CCGGGCCCTCGGGCAGTGCCCGAGTTTCCAAATGGTCAGTCTGCCCCTGTTGGTACTCCATGCCCAGGACTCCAAAGGAAGTCCAACTGGTAGATTCAATATTACTGGTACGGTTTCCAAATGATCAGTCCGCCCCTGTACCTGAATGTATGCAGCGCTGTTCCACCAACAGTTCTCTGTGTTTTCAAAGTATGTTGGGTGAGAGCAGTCGACAGGGCCACCCACTACACAGATTTTGGCCAGTTCATTAGTATGGCCATCCTTGGATTCTGCTTGTACTGCTTGTACTCATCATTCCTCCTCCCTCTGTGATTACCAGTGGAAAATGCCTGGTTCTCCTATGTATGGGAGAGCAGATGTCCTCCTCCTAAGATGCAATTACATGATGGAGAGGTGAAATCATCACTCCCTCTGAGCTCTGACACCAGCCGTTATGTATGTTCCCACATTCATGAGTGGGAACGTAAACAAGAATGCTTGCTATTGCTTGCGCATTTATGGTACGTCTTTTTGCTTCATAGATCAGGAAATAATTGGGCCTGCTCACAGCAAGGTTTTCCAGCATCCTCTTTGCCTCTTTTCTTGAAGCAGACGTGTAGTTAGTTCCACCTAAAAGAAAAAAAAAAAAAAAGCAGCTACAAAAACTGTATCTGCCGACTTTTAAAATACAGCCACTTACCTGTCCCTCGGTCCAGCGATGTCTTCACCACAGCTGGTTTTTCCTATTGTACAATTAGGATTGGGTATCTGGTCCTTTTATCTTGGTAAAGATGCTTGGGAAAATGACAGTTAGTTGGAGACAGTTATTCAGAAACTTAAGCTGGCTGTACACTGATTGAGGTTTGGCTGGTCCAGTAGGGACTACGTCACTTTCGCTCAGTGTGTGACCTCCCTCCACTTGACAAAAGTCAATTATTTAATCAGCTTATGGCTAAGCCATGGGTGGAAAAATGTTCCCACGATCAGCGACTGCAATCACAGATCTGTTTATTCTGACAGTAGCGGGTGTTGCTGTCAAAATACATTGCTTTAGCAGGGTGGATTCCTACATCAACCTTGTTTGTGTGAATGGAGGAATCTGTTTAGTTTCTCTTTTCGTTCAGCCCACTGGCTGGGAAAAAAAAACTCAATATATGGCCAGCCTTATGGAGGCCATAGACAGGTCAAAAACCAGCCGTTTTAAAAAAAAACCCGAAAAAATCGGTTGTTCCATAGGCCGATGTTACCACCAACGGTAAAAAAAATCGGCTGATTTTCGTCCCGTCTACGGCCAGCATTTAATTACTTCTGTCCCTGCAGAGAGCTCTGCTATTATATTTGACATGAAAAAGTATTGCGGTTGCAACAATGTATCTATTTGTATCCATTTCGGATACAAATGGTTTTATTCGGATACAAATAGATACATTGTTGCAACCGCAATACTTTTTCATGTCAAATATAATAGCGGACTGGAATTCTTCTTCTTTTTCTTCTTCTTGCCGATTTTTTTTTCCAACTTCACAGATAAAAAAAAAAAAGTGCCAAAATCCTGAAAAATGGCCGACCAATAACGAACCCACTAACGGTGCGAAAATCAGCCGATTTGTGTGTTTTTTTTTTTTTTTTTTTTTTCAGCTGAAAAATCGGCCGATTTTCGACCTGTCTATGGGCTGCATTTATGCCGATCGGCCAATTTTCCCGGCAATGATGGGCAAATCGGCCAATCTTTTTACTGATAAAAAAATATGCGCATGAGCCGTGACCTGCAAGAAGAAGAAAAAGAAGAGAATAAGAATTCCAGTCCGCTATTATATTTGACATGAAAAAGTATTGTGGTTGCAACAATGTATCTATTTGTATCCGAATAAAAGCATCTGTATCCGAAATGGATACAAATAGATACAATGTTGCAACCACAATACTTTTTCATGTCAAATATAATAGCAGAGCTCTCTGCAGGGACAGAAGTAATTGAATGCTGGCCGTAGATGGGACGAAAATCTGCCTTTTTTTTTTGTGTTTTTTTGGCATTGGTGGTAATGTCGGCCTATTGATTTTTCGTTTTTTTTTTTTTTTAAAAATGGCTGGTTTTTTTCGACCAGTCTATGGCCTGCATAAGTGTATGGTGACCCCCTTCAGCAAAGATTGTGTGACCAGATGCCTAGACATATGATGGCCTAACTGTCTACTTTATGACCTTGGAGTGTGTTCTGCAGCACAGATGAGTATTGGAAGGCTTTTTTACTAATATTATTTTAGGACAACAGGATGGTCATAGTAGTGATGTGTGTCTGTGGTTATTGTATTTGATACTTCAAGCCGATATTAGGAAGAGTGGAAGTCATGAAGGTCAGAAGCTTTAGGAAGGTTATAAGAGAGGCCAATGTAGACCAAGCATGTAGGAGGGTGTTGTAAAACTGGACTTGCAGAGGGTCAGGCCAACTGTTAAAGAGCTCATTCTAAAATTAGCAATTTGTAGAAATTAAAGTATATTAGAAATGTCAAACTTACATAAACGTGACTAAGGAGATTTTTCAAAAGCGACATCCTCCTTAGGCCAACCAGACATATGCGTGGGTTTCCTCCGGGTACTCCGGTTTCCTCCCACACTCCAAAGACATGCTGCTAGGTTAATTGGCTCCTGTCTAAATTGGCCCTAGTATGTGTATGTATGAATGCAAGTTAGGGACCTCAGATTGTACACCCCTTGAGGGTTAGGGACTGATGTGAATATATAATATATGTGTAAAGCGCTGCGTAAATTGACGGCGCTATATAAGTACCTGTAATAAATAAAATAAATATTATTTAGCAGACATTTAGAAATTGAAATGACACAAACAGATGAAAGATGACTGAATGGCCAGATGGCTGGAGAGGGCAGCCATAAAATTGCAGGATGAGGATAAATACTGGTCTGATGACAGCTATACTGCCTGAGTCAGGATACATGTAAGTGACCTCATCCTCTAATGACACCATCAATCTAGGCAAATATTTGTCTAGCAACTATCTGTGTAAAATATTTGATTTGAAAGCACCCCATCCATAAATTATAAATGCTACCCTTTGATGATGATGATTACCTGTCCCACCACTGCAGACCTTCACTCTTCATGAGCTGTGGTGCCCTCTTCATTTCTCACATTTTAGGAGCGTTGTATTTTAGGTCTCTTACCAAATGATATGGTTCCATCCCCTAGCCTCTATATCGCTGCTGGACACAATTGTGATGTTGGGGTTGTTGGAAGGAAAAACATTGCCTGTTGGAAGGACATTCAACCAGACAGTGGCTAAGTGGTTAGCACTTCTGCCTAGCAGTACTCGGGTCATTAGTTTGCATCCCAACCACAGCACTACCTGCCTGGAGTTTGCATGTTCTCCCTGTGCCTGTGTGGGTTTCCTCCAGCTACAAATTTCCACGGACACACTCCAAAGTCTTTGGGAACGCCTTCCCAGAAGAGTGGAGGCTGTTAAAGCTGCAAAGAGGGACCCAGTCCATGTTAATGCCCATGGTTTTGGAATGGCATGTTCACTAAGCTCATGTATGTGTGAAGGCCACAGTGGCTAAATGGTTAGCACTTCCACCTGGCAGTACTAGGGTCATTGGTTTGAATCCCAACCACAGCACCACCTGCCTGGAGTTTGCACGTTCTGTGCCTGTGTGGGTTTCCTCTGGCTACTCTGGTTTCCTCCCACACTCCAAAGACATGCTGGTAGGTTAATTGGATCCTGTCTAAATTGGCCCTAGTATATGTATGTATGAATGAATGTGAGTTAGGGACCTTAGGTTGTACATTCCTTGAGGGCAGGAACTGATGTGGATGTACACTATATGTAAAGTGCTGCATAAATTGGCAGTGCTATATACAGTCATGGCCAAAAATATTGGCACCCCTGCAATTCTGTCAGATAATGCACTACTTCACCCAGAAAATTGTTGTAATTGCAAATGTTTAGTCATTTTCATGTTTATTTCTATTGTTTGTATTGGTATGACACAAAAAAGTGGAGAAATAAAAAGCCAAATCTGACACATTCCACCCAAAACTCCAAAAATGGACTGGACAAAATGATTGTCACCCTCAACTTACTTGGTAGCACACCCCTTGGAAAAACTAACTGAAATAAATCACTTCCTGCAACCATCAATGAGTCTCTTACACCTCTCTTCTGGAATTTTGGACCACTCTTCTTTCGCCAACTGCTCCAGGTCTGTCAGATTGGAAGGGTTCCTTTTCCCAACTGCTGTTTTGAGATCTCTCCACAGATACTCTATGGGATTGAGATCTGGACCTATTGCTAGTTCAGTACTCTCCAGCGCTTTGTCTGAAGCCATTTCTGGGTGCTTTTTGACGTGTGCTTTGGGTCATTGTCCTGCTGTAAAAGCCATGACCTCTGGAGGAGACCCAACTTTCTGACACTGGGCCCTAAATTGCACCCAGAATTCTTTGGAAGTCTTCAGATTTCATAATGCCATGCATACAGTCAAGACATCCAGTGCCTGAAACAGCAAAGCAACCCCAAAACATCAGTGAACCTCCACCATGTTTGACTGTAGGGACTGTATTCTTTTCTTTTAAGGCCTCATTTCTTTTTCTGAAAACAGTAGAATGATGGGTTTTATCAAAAAGCTGTAATTTTGTTCAGTCTGTCCACAGCACGGTCTCCCAAAAGGATTTTGGCTTCCTCAGGTAAGTTTTGCAATATGGCTTTTTTATGTTTTCTGTGTCAGCAGTGGGGTCCTCTTGGGTTTGCTACCATAGCATCCCTTTTCATTCAGATGGCGATGTATAGTGTGACACAGTTGTACCCAGTACCTGGTGGTCATCTTGAGTTTTTCTGGAAGTTGATCGAAGTTCTTTATCCGCCATTCGAATAGTCCTTTGTTGCAATCTTTGATGAAGTTTTTCTCTTTCATCCACGTCCAGGGAGACTAGCTACAGTGGCATGGGCTGTAAACTTCTTGACAATGTTGCGCACAGTGGACACAGAAATATTAAGATTTGTTAACTGATACAGGTGCGTTTAATTACAAATTACTGGATTATCACAAACTTGGAATGCAAATGTTGCTTACAATGTTGAGAAGGGGCCAATAATTTTGTCCAGTCTATTTTTTGTGTTTTGCTTGGCATGTGTCAGATTTGGCTTTTTGTTCCTCCCACTTTTTTGTGTCATACCAATACAAACAAAAGAAATAAACACAAGAATGCCTAAACATTTGTAATTGCAGTAATGTTCTGGGTGAAATGGTGCAATATTGGACAGATTGGGGTGCCAATATTTTTGGCCATGACTATAAGTACCTGTAATAATGAAACTCGGGAAAGGTGCCAGGTAAATTCAGGGATTCTTGGCCCTTGTAACTCTGAAAACAACAAAAAATAGTGGCATGGTAGGTGAGATACAAATTGCCTGCAGTTTTTTTTTTTTTTTTTTTTTTGAGTGAGGAGATCATTTTTGGCGTCCTTCAAGTGTGCTTGGTCAATCTCAGAGGAAATTAGAAGCTGGGAGCATGCACATGTTCTCAGACATCAAACAGGAAATATTAATGGATAGAACACAGAGAATACCAATATTGCTCTCACAGAACAGCAGGAGAAAATGAGATGGGTTATTGGCAATACTGATGATTTAGCTATATAAAATGAGCTTCGGCAATAAAGTCATTGTGTTGTGCTTTATCACTCTTTCAGCATGGACACTTTTATGTATGGATAATAGGCTCTGTGTAATTAGGTCGCCTGAATCAATTTGGAAACCCAGAAACCAGTCATACTCAGTGCTATCTATATATGCAGTCAACTCAGACCATTGTCAGAGCGCTGCAGTGTTTAGTAGGGCTTAAAGTGTTTCTAAGCCTTAAAGTGTTACTAAACCCAGGACCCTGCACTCACTATATCTGGTCTCCCCGGACCCTGCACTCACTATATCTGGTCTCCCAGGACTCTGCACTCACTATATCTGGTCTCCCCGGACCCTGCACTCACTATATCTGGTCTCCCAGGACCCTGCACTCACTATATCTGGTCTCCCCGGACCCTGCACTCACTATATCTGGTCTCCCAGGACCCTGCATTCATTATATCTGGTTTCCCAGGACCCTGCACTCACTATATCTGGTCTCCCAGGACCCTGCATTCACTATATCTGGTCTCCCCGGTCCTTGCACTCACTATATCTGGTCTCCCAGGACCCTGCATTCACTATGTCTGGTCTCCCTAGGACCCTGCATTCACTATGTCTGGTCTCCCAGGACCCTTCACTTACTATATCTGGTCTCCCAGGACCCTGCATTCACTATATCTGGTCTCCTAGGACCCTGCATTCACTATATCTGGTCTCCCAGGACCCTTCACTTACTATATCTGGTCTCCCAGGACCCTGCATTCACTATATCTGGTCTCCCAGGACCCTGCACTCACTATATCTGGTCTCCCAGGACCCTGCACTCACTATATCTGGCTCTCCCAGGACCCTGCACTCACTATATATCTGGTCTCCCAGGACCCTGCACTCACTATATCTGGTCTCCCAGGACCCTGCACTCACTATATCTGGTCTCCCAGGACCCTGCACTCACTATATCTGGTCTCCCAGGACCCTGCACTCACTATATCTGGTCTCCCAGGACCCTGCACTCACTATATCTGGTCTCCCAGGACCCTGCACTACTATATCTGGTCTCCCAGGACCCTGCACTCACTATATCTGGTCTCCCCGGACCCTGCACTCACTATATCTGGTCTCCCCGGACCCTGCACTCACATCTGGTCTCCCCGGACCCTGCACTCACTATATCTGGTCTCCCCGGACCCTGCACCTATATTTTCTGGCGACTCTGCACTCACTATATCTGGTCTCCCCGGACCCTGCACTCACTATATCTGGTCTCCCAGGACCCTGCACTCACTATATCTGGTCTCCCCGGACCCTGCATTCACTATATCTGGTCTCCAGGACCCTGCATTCACTATATCTATGTCTGGTCTCCCAGGACCCCGCATTCACTATATCTGGTCTGGTCTCCCTAGGACCCTGCATTCACTATATCTGGTCTCCCAGGACCCTGCATTCACTATATCTGGTCTAGGACCCTGCATTCACCTGGGACCCTTCACTTACTATATCTGGTCTCCCAGGACCCTGCATTCACTATATCTGGTCTCCCCGGACCCCGCTTTCATTATATCTGGTCTCCCCGGACCCCGCATTCACTATATCTGGTCTCCCCGGACCCCGCATTCACTATATCTGGTCTCCCCGGACCCCGCATTTACTATATCTAGTCTCCCACAGTACTCAGAACATGGAAATGCAATTATTTTAGTAAATATAAACTGCTAAATACCTTTTCTTATCAGCAGTATATAGCACTCTTGTGATTTCTATCAGCGTCCATCAGAGCACTGGTTAAAGCTTTCAGGAGTTTTCATTCTCCTCTGATTGTCCTATGATGCTGCAGGTCCCCTGAACCTCTGTCTGGACAACACTAATTGGCCGTTTGCTGATCACATGCACTCTTCCAAGAAAATAAAACTCTGTAGCAATACACACCAAACTGAGCATGTGCAACTTGCCCCCAATGCTCAGTACTATCAGCAGATGGATTGGGGAATGTAGAAGAAGGGAAGGATCAGAGAAGACCGGATTAAGCATCCTTTTTACACAATGCGGAGAATTCACCCCTTAGGTTCCACAGTGAAAAACAAGCATGCTTTACTGCATATACAGACTGATTTTACTTTTTTGGTTTAGTAACACTTTTTAAGGTTTTTTTTTTTTTTTTTTTTTACCTGAATGTATTCAGGTACAAAACCTTCTGTGCTGCAGGATCCCCCAGCCCTCCCTTTTTCTTACATGAGCCCAATCCAAACCATCGATGTGCACAAGAGCAGCTGCTCTGGCCACGGTCTCCCTCCTCACTGGGCAGATGAATCCCTTTTACTGGAGGTTGTATGGAACTCAGTTGACATCAATTTGTTGCATCTAATGGGAAATGAACTGGAGATTGAAAAGGAGTTCATCAAATGTTTAATGCAGGCAATCAAATGCCCTGTGCTCCCAGCTGCTATTCATTTTGTGTCACAACAAACCCGACATGTCATACACTCGGATTTCTGTTTAGACTGTGATGTGTTAATCGAACACGGAAGTGGAGAAAACCTCTATAAAAACATATGCCAAATCTGGTGATCATCTGTTGTTTTAGATGTGCAAACATATTTATTCAGCGTATCCATATTGTACTAACATTCCTTGGCGTGAATACCTGTTTAGAGTGCTCAGAAATGCCTACACTTCTGGAACAGTGTAATGCCCCCACCATAGTCATTCAGTGGCCAATTTCAGTACAAGTCATCTAACTGAGCAGCTTGTTTTTGGAGGAAATTGGAGAAACCCACACAAACTCCATGCAGATAGCACCCCTCATAGTGGGGGGTTTAAACTCCATGCAGACAGCACCCCTCCTTGTGGGGCTTAAAACACAGGGCCCCAGATTATCAAGGTTACAACACTAAGGCTCAGTTCACTCTAGCTTTGTCAGCAGGCGTCAGGCAGGCGTTTGGGAAGCATTTTTAATGCTTCTCAAGTGCCTATGAAAATTGTGCACATGGCAGAACACAGTGCTGTTCACACTGAAGCGTTAGCGTTTCATTGCGTTGCGGCAAAACTGACGCCTCGTGTTGAGTCAGGAGGAGTTGAAGCCTCCCATTCAAGTCTATGGTGCCGCTCCGCAAACACCTGGCAGGCATTTGTGGTGCGGTTGCGGAGCGTTTAATACCATTTAACTTCATTATAAACATTTGTGGTTCGGTTTTAACGTTTGGCAAACGCCTCAAAACCGCGCATGGAGAGTTTGGGGAGCGTTAAAAATGCTTTCCAAACGCCTGTGTCTAACGCCTGTCAAATGCTATAGACGCGTTTGACAAGAGTTAGAAATAAAGTCAAGTGTGAACAAGCCTTTAGAGGGTGGAGGGGGTGTGCACAGCGTGAGAAAATAGAATTTGTGTTCTGCTACTTTAATCACAATTGTTACAGTATTTTCTTACCAATCATTCTAGGCTGATCATAAGCCGGACTTTGCTTGTCTTAATATACAACTTTAATTTGTAAATTAAATTTCAAATTTCATTATGCTGAAGTGTACCAAAGTAGATACCTCAGAATGAACAGGCTGCATGTTTGTTGATTGGAGAGCTGCTTACTGCTGCTATGTGTGCTTCAGTTGTCTCCACTGATTAGTGTCTACTCACAGCTTCCTCTTTTCTCCCTTACACCAGATTGTTGGCAGGGAACGTGTTACAAGATAAAAGGCCTGTATAATGACAGACGTTGGGAGCAGTGTACACTGTGCAATTGTACGTTTACATGTGACCACTCTGCACCCAGTCCAGCCTTCTATCAGCCTCCAGGATCCCCTTTGCACAGTAGGAAACAGACCTGGTAAGGAAAGATTGACCTGTGAACCAATAAGGCTGCCTTGCTTTACATAGAGGTGTCAGTGTGGGCTGGTAACAAAGTTGTATTGCTTAAAGGGTTAGTCCACCTTTACCAAAAAACTGCCTATGCAGATAAGTGGCGTCTGGAGATAAAAACAACTGTGGAGCAAAGTTGATTGATGTCCTTGCTATAGGTGTAGGCCATTCACATTCCTCAGTAATCCTAACTGGGAAACTTCTAGGACGTTGCTAAGGATGTTGCTAAGAGAGACCTAGTGTTATAGCTCACCTTCACCGTCACAGAAAAGAGCTCTGAAATGCTGAGCTCAGAGCTACTGCATCAGGGAGAGAAAGGTAAAGGTGAACTAACCCTTTCCATCCAAAGAAGAAAAGTAAGGTCACTGACCTAGATGCACTGTCTGGCAGAAGGACATGGATCGCAAAACTGGCTAAGCAGAATTATAAAGATTTTGCAGTGCAGTTGCGACCAAAGGTCTTTTTTTTTTTCCCCCCTGAAATAATCCAATTTTCTGTAGTTCATAAATAATCCCTTTTACGAATTCTAGTATGTCCAAA